GATCAGCTTGGACACGATGGTCAGCCAATAATAATGTGATTACCTGAAAAAGAGAGGAGGCGTAAAGCAGAGTCCCATCTCCGCCCAAACAGATGATCAGGTCGATGCAGTCAGAGATATCATCATAACCTGCAGATGGAGAGAATCAGCCATCACAACACTACAAGAAACTATAAATATCTTACTTCAAAATAATCGAAATATTCTTTTTCAGAAAATTTCCAAAAAGTCCTTCATCGGAGCAGCTGATGAACTTTCGAACATTTAAAATTCACCATACATGTGCAGCCAGTGATTCATCCAAAAAGATCAAATACACCAGACAATAGTTACTGAAGACACTTCCTCACTCTCTTTAGCAGCATCAGTCTCTTTCATCCTTAAAGCTAAATTTAAGTCCATCACTTTGACTTTAAGAGAATATTTTCCATCATAGTATCACGACACACAGGAAGAGTCTTACCCTCCCTGAAGGTGCAGAGCTGATTGCGTATGGAGCCGAAGGCCTCGTCCTTTGACAGCGTAGCATCATCTGCAACCCTGCGCTCCACGTATACCATCATCTGCTTCTCCTGATAAACACAGATATGCTTTAGTGACAACAGCCAAAACACACACAGACTTCTCTCAAAAGAGCGCGTTCCAAAATAAAGCTGAGCGTATGCCAAGGATGTGGTTTAATGGGTGTTTACATGGAAATCAAATGTGCATGTTCACTGGCCAACTTTTGTTTTGACAAATGGGGCTGTAACTTTCACAATCATGTGTGGATCACTTTCTGTACTCTACCATAAAGTGTACAGAGAACATACTGTTCGATGTCACTGCAGAGGATTAATGTGGAAAGATGCACTTTAAAAGGTCAAACTGTTCACACAGTATTCTTTCCCTTGATAAACAAAACAAACATTTCGGCTTGGTTCTTGCTCTCACAATAATGAAACACAGTAGACTAATAAATGGAAAACCTTATATACATAATTTATGTCAGGAAACATAAAGGCAACATGCTTGATATTATGCTTGAAAGACAAAATGCAGATTTTCCCTGAATAATAACTTTAATTATGCATCATGAACACACTTGTTGAAATGCTTTGTCATCCTCTGCAAGAACAAAGGCCAGCTATGACATAACCATGGTTTATATCAAATTCTGTACCTCCACTAGAAATCTGCAGAGCTCTTTGAAAGGCTCAACCAAGCTCTCATCTCTGATTTTCCTGATGACAAGTACGTTGACTGGAGGTTTATTCCAGGTGAGCCGCTGGCTGGCCGGGTCCTGGATGTGCCTGGAAGGGGAAAAAACAGACACAGACATAAACACAAACAGAAGTGAGTGAAGAAACAAATACAAACACACAAAGGAAGCGACATGGACCAACGCTGTCTGAAAAAGACACATTGCATACACAGAAATACAGATACTGAGTAGGTGAAAAAGTTAGAATAGACATTATAGAAAAATACAGAGTGAAGTGTTACATAATCAAAACATCAAACTAAAGTAGTCTTAAAAAACTTAAGTCTTAAAAACTTTCAAAATAAAGTCAAATATCAACATGACACCTCAGACTAATTACAGTGTACCTACAGCAATAGTCATTAATTAACTGCTGGCAGTTAAAATCCAAACATCATTATAAAATAAATAAATCTTAAGCTACTTTACCACTTGCATCTCTCCTCTTTTTCAATGCGGATAACAGGCATGTTGCAGATAGTTTAGTCTGAGAGTGTTTTCAGATCAAGTTTAAGGAAAAACTCTGCGATCAGCTGACAATAATCATCTGTGGTCTGTTCAGTGAATCATACCACAGCATGAAACCTCCAATCACAGCATTCCCACTTTATCTTATCTCACACAGTTACACAAGCTTGTCTATGTCAATGTCCCCAATAAACACAGTGAACTCTCTTCAGTTTGTTACCACACAAAGTTTGACTCATTCAGCACCATCATGCTTACATGACTGAAGTTGGGTTGGGAAGAATACAGGCTTTGGGTCCGAAGTGAGTGGCTGGATACGGTCCATGTAGAAAGTGGGCTCTCCTGTGAGGAGTGAAAAGAAAAAGAGTCAAGACACCATCCCCTCATGTCCCGGGCAGCAGACCTGTTCCAGTGGCATGGCAGACCAGCTGCCAACCTGCAGTGCAAACCTCTTAGGTGAACTTTCCGCTGCGTCGCTTGCCGACCCGGAGGGCTCCAAGTGCTCGAGTTGGCCTGGTAACCTCCGTCGCTCGATCTCCAAGAGCAGCTGTTCATGACCATCCCCCCGCCGCTGCGTCCTCTTCCCTTCCCGTCGTCTCCTTGGTGACTTAGACGGGTGCTCCCTGTGCTTGGAGGGCCTGGCTGACTCGGACAGCTGACCAGAGGGGCCTGAGAGTCGTGCCATACCTCTCTCCGGCGCTGCCAGGGGCCCCAAGGATGAACCGCCCTTTGAATCCTCCATTCTGCAAGATGGCAACGCAAATACATCTGTAACAGTCTTTAATTCATCTATGAATAACTGTTAATACGTAGTGCAGAAAAAATCTGTTAATAGTCCAGTAGTTGTTTAAGAGGAGGGAATATATAAATATATATATATATGTGTCCATTTGGATTAAGTAGAGTAAATATTTAACCAAGAAATACAATTGATTGATTTATCGCTTGAGTTGGTCTCAGTTCTACAGCAAACAGATGATATTGACGTGATGATACAGCATCTTACAGAACACTATAAATCAAATAGTTCAGCGACTAATGAGACCAACGTGATGTCGCACCACTAAAATGAAAATATTATTTGAGAAGCTGAAAATGGAGAATCTTTCAACACCTTATTCAATATATTATTCAAATGATAATCGAACGTCAAAATTATCTAAATAGTAGCTCTGTCATTCAACCACTCATTACAGCTGATAAAAGGTTTAATGTGATCTATCACAAAACAATCAGATCCCGACGGGGTCTACATTTAGTCATGTGAATATTAGAGGCATTTGGTTAAAACAGATGCAGGTCAAAAAAAGATATTCCTCATTAAATCCTCCTTCGTGAGGTTTATCATGTTCACTGGGTTTCAGACGTGCTGATTTGAAGTCCTTCAGGCAGTTTGTAGTTCTCTATCACAGCATCAACACCAGCTGGACATTACAGCCTTAAAGATGGTGGGAGATGTTGTAAACCAGCTGCATCAGTCTGCACTGGTTTAGCTAAATGTACCTGATAAACACTCACAACAGTTGACTGGAAGTTAAAGAAGTTAACATCAAATCCATCGGTTCTTCCTTGTGATGTTTAGCAGTGACATTAAATGTGATCCCAGTCTTTGTACGACACATTACTCGCTGCTAGGAAGCAGCTGAATCAACCCGGTGGAGGTCAGAGGTGAGTTCACCTGTCTCACTGCATTTGTAGATAGCTAACGTCACCTAGCAGCTTAGCAGCTAATGGACGCAGCGTAAAAACAGAAGGAAACGAAGCCTTACTGTGTCACAGGGACGCTGACATGCTCACACCGACACGACACCGTGTGAACTGTGTGTTTAGAGACAGACGCCGCCGGCAAACTGTGAAAAAATGAGCTGTTGCAAAACCGGACAGGACGGTGAGAGGGCTCAGGGGCGGCACGCTGACCGGAAGTCTGCGCCGGACCGGCGCTCAGCTAAAGACACAGCGCCGCGATGGACCCCGGTGGTCACGGACGGAACTATATCCACAGAGTCCAGGATGAAAGGAGTGAATATAGAAGTGTGTGTGTGTGTGTGTGTGTGTGTGTGTGTGTGTGTGTGTGTGTGTGTGTGTGTGTGTGTGTGTGTGTGTGTGTGTGTGTGTGTGTACACTGACTGTTATATATCTTTAGATGTATATACCGTATACAGTATAACATTAATATTGTTTGTGTTTATATGTTTGTGCTCTGTGAGTGTTTTGTTTGTATATTTCCAATTCTTTAACAGAACAAAAAAAAAATCCTCCACCAAGGCCCAACAGTCCAATTCAATCCAATCAACTTGGACCAAATTAGATATCAGTACTATGCCTGATCTTTTGTCCCATCAAGTTTCATGGGTCGCTTCCTGGGGAAAAATGCTGAAATACGCTCTATCTCACAAGAAAGTGAAAAATAAATCCTAGCTCTGGTGCCTGGAGGCAGACCCCCGCTCCCTGACCCGCGTCCTCCCACCAAGTTTCATGGAAATCTGTTCAGTTGTCTTTATTCCTGGCTACAAACAAACATAAACTCCATGGCTGAGAGAGAAAAAAAGAAAAGGTAGATAAATCATTAACCCTGCAGTTTTGTTCTCATATGAAATGTTAACAAGCTCCAACTGCCATTAAAAGTTGGGTGCAGTCGAGGAAAACTAGTCTCTGGTTGGATAAAGCCCCATGAAAGTCAAAGTCCAAACCTGTGTGGTCATGGGGGAATTTAAAACAAGCTTGAACCTGTGCAATACACTTCTTTCATTTGCATTTTTTGTATTTACATTTGCTGTTTATCTTCCTGAGATAGTAGTGCTTTGTAAATGGGAAGCAAGCTGACAGATAAATAAACTGTAAGTTCTTCTGATCAACATTTTATGCCAAGCAGATTTTCTGGTGTAAAGTAATTTACACATGGAGAGAGAAAAAAGCCTGGGGGGGAAAGGTTGTATTTATTTCAACAGAGCAGAACTGTGAGGCTTCAACCAACCGACCTGGAGGAACCTGAGGACAACTGGTTTTCTCTCTTTTCCTAACAGCATGTTTGCACTCGTTTGCGCTCCACACCGTCCTGTGATATCCCTGGACAACAATATCACCCAGCTTCCTTGTTTTGAGCTGATGGGTTGGGTAACGTCCTGTGTTTAAACAAAACCACCCTTTCAATCTAAAGCTTTTCTGATGGTAATTTCACTGAAACTGGATCCAGCACATTTGAAAACCTGCAGGAAGAAACAGAGCCTGGATTTAACATCACCCAACTTCATTCACACAGGTAGTAAATCCAAAGTGTGTGCATTGTGTGTTTTCTTCATACAGGCTGACTCTTCGTGCAGGATTTGATTGATTAACAATGAATTAATCTGGTTCATGAAGGCGACTATAGCCCACACAAACCGGCTATCCCCACCATCGCCCTGGCAACATACGCTCTTTGAACAAGTTACTTCACACTTTAACCCAGAGGCTTGTGAGGGTTTTTGCATGAACGGAAACATGACTCAACGACCACTTCCCTGAGAGCGGAGTTCAGATCATGCTGCAGAGCGACCAGAGGTCCAGATGAAGGGTGTTCAACTCGTGGAGGGGGGCTCTGTGTTTACATCAGTGATGCTCGGTGTCGGGTCGTTGCTGTAGTTTGCAGACACTGTTCACCGCCTGTAGAGTTCATGATTATATTACCAAGTGCCGAGGGAGTTTACAGCTGTTCTGTTTACATCCCTTCGAGCTCCAACAACAGCAGCAGCAGCAGCAGCAGGAGTGAGGCACTAAGGGAACTTTATCAGCGCATCAGTGAGTCAGCCCACCCTGATGCTTTTCTCACCTTGGCTCGGGATTTCAACCACGTAAACCCAAAGTGAGCCGCCTGACCCTGTGGTGCAGTGTCAACAACCCGACTCTGAATGTCGAGAAGACGAAGGACATTGTTGGGGACTTCAGGAGATCGCGCACCCAGCGGAGGGTGGTCAGGGGAGCGTCCCTGACCACCAGCGGCGCCGCTGTGGAGAGGGTGAGCAGCACCAAGTCCCTGGGAGTCCTCCTCTGCAGAGGTGGACTCCCAGGGACAGCTTCATCCACAGGCTGATATTTATGTGTGTGTGTGTGTGTGTGTGTGTGTGTGTGTGTAAGTTAGTGCAGCTTGACTGAACCTAAGGTGGACTGTTGGGCCTTGGTGACGGTGTAAGCTGAGTATCAAGGTGTGTTCTGTATCTGGAGACTTGAAGTTATCTTCTCATTCAGTATTTGGGTAAAATTAAATTCACTGTGCCACATAACCGTCTCCTCCTCTTCACCTTTTACCGTCACTCAGCCTCTTACCAGCCGCTTCCATCTGCCATGTTTTACAGTTGGCACTGTTTACGCAAAACGTGCTGGATCCTGTCTGACAGGACAGACAAACTTGTTTTGGTGTCATCCAACTAAAGACATGTGCTGCCAGAACCCACCACGCTTCTTTTCATGTGTTTTTATTTTTATATTTATTGACTGAAATCAGTTTCACACTCCAGAGAGACACGAGGACATGATGGTTCAAAATCTGATTTCTAAAAGTTTCTCTCTTCATCCAGGAATAAATCCTTATATTAACATTTGACTTTATTTTTACACTCAGTCAGGAGTTTAATAGGTACCTATTATAGGTATATAGGTACCCAGCTTAAAGGGACAGATGTCAATACAACAGCCCATGTTACTGGAATCATCATGAAATTGCAGATATTAATTAGTGAATATTGTTTATTGAACAGATAAAGTTGCATAACTGCCTTAATAAGTCATAAATTAATACTTGCTTGATTTTCTTTTGAAGATATCGTCCCTCAGCAGCAGAGTCTTCATGGTGGTCGACAGTCACCGGTGCACATGTGGTTAAAACCTCCACACACAGCATGAACACCTCCACCCTCTCCATCCTGCTCGGACTGGGAGGGAAATGTCTGCTCAACTGGGTCCTGGTGTTTCTCCAGAGGAGACACATCTGCAGGAGCTTTGTGGGGGTTTTCAGCGTGTCCCTGTCTGTCTTGGACACGGCCATGACCCTCATCTTCGTCTCCATTCACATCCACGCTGAAGGACCCCTCTTCCTCTTGGACTGGCAGCTGACCAGATATCACACGTGTTTGCTGGTTCAAATCCTCGGACAAGTCCACAGTGTCCTGCAGTGGCCTGTTGTGCTCGTGGCCAGTTTGGACCATTTCTGCACCGTGTCTCTGCCACCGGCCTCCTTCAGGGTGAAATGGATCGTTTACTCATTTGTGACTGTCCTACTGTGGAACCTCACTGCTCTCTACGTCTTCCTGCTCTCTGACTTCAATCCTGTCCTGGAGGACGTGTCTCACTACCAAATAAACCAGTGCTGGGTGTTCCACAGCACTCAGATCCTGCAGGTTGTCACGCTGCTCTCCTTGACTCAGGCCTGTGCCGTGCTTCATGCTGTTTGCCACTCTAGATTATCACAAAATCCTTCTCTGAAGAATCAAATTACAAACCAGAGCAGAACTCTCTCCAGGAGAAGCTTTGTTTGCCAGGTCCTGAGTATGTTTCTGAGCACTTGGGCCCCTCTGCTGATTTTTCTGGCCGTGCTCCTCCTGCTTCCCGTGAGAATACCGTCATACCTGGGTCTGAACGTTGCCTGGCTCTGCTTCCTCAACAGCTTTCTGATCGCACTTGTTCTAAGTGTAGTCTGTCCAACCCCACAGTTCGCACAGGGCTTGGCAGCAGTTCCAGCGGACAGCTTCTGTGAGTGGAGGGTTAAATTTAACTTGGCTGCAGAGGACAGAACATGACGGCACCCAGTAATTTAATGTAGGACACACGTCAGAAGAAATGAAATTAGATGATGGAACCTGAATGTGAGAAAAAATTTCGTTTCTGGAGAACAGTGTCACTCTAGTGATGCTGTCAGTCAGTCCAACATGTTTAGACTAAAATAGCTCAACCACTATTGGATGGATTGCTAACAAATATGATTTTACAAACATGATCATAAGAGAATTATTAGAAATGGATTTTGGGGCCAAAGCCAATAATAGGGAGTTGAAAACTCCCAATATAATATATTGCTTATATGTTTACAACACAAACCTTGTTTTATTGAGCCTATATTTGTTTACAACTCGTAAAATCAAGTGTAAAATGTCTTAGTATCAGTTCCTGTTTGTTGTACACTGTCCCTGAATCATTTGGAATTTTTAAGAATGTGGGATTCTCAAGCAGTTTCAGATCGATTGTTTATTTCATAATTTCTAAGCAGGTTTTTTGCAAAGACATCGGAGATAATGATAGTGAGTAAATCACACTGATGCTAAAACTGTTGGATTGATTTCTAATCCAGATTTGTGTCCAAATGAACGTAATCTGGTGTTGAGCGTGTTTTTTTTTAAAGTAGCCTATAGATGAATTTAATCAATAGTAATATTATCACTATTGTTATTGAGTAATGTGCACGAAACTGGATTAAACATAAACCTCAGGGTTGGAAGATTGTTCAGAATGATTTTTTGATATGCCTGTTTTATGTGTGATAATTCTTAATCTTTTTAATAAAATAATCTGAATTTGTTGATGAATTTCTCGTCTCAGGTCTACACATATGTAAGTTGTTGATGTGACCTCTATCAGCATCGGGAGCTGACGGAAAAAAGGCAAAACACAACACAGGTTCGACACTACAGAACTTTACTTGAATTTGATCCAAGTTCATTGTCTATACAGGGTATATTTACAAGATCTGAAATCAGGGAAGGGCAAAAACAGAAAAAAACAAACACTAGATACAACTGAGGTATTAGCTAAAAGCATTTACAGGTATGTCATTTACTAGTAAATATCAATGATGATAAACAGTTAGAGATGCAGTGTCTTCTGCTTAAAAAACATCTTTTTATATCACAACATGAGGTAGGAGAACAGTGTCTCGATTCATGCAAGAACAAAAGTCTCATCACACTGTAGTATTGGCAACGTATGCAATGGTCATACACGGACACTGCGATTCATTTTTCAGAACAGCATCGAGGGGGAAGAGGGATCTTATTTAGCAAAGCCATAAATATTTTTTCATATCTATAACAGGATGTGTGGACATGAAATCATTTTATTCTTCGTAGCCAGTGATCTGTGCGATCAATCAACAACGCAGCCCTATACTTCAGACTCCTCCCACAGTGGCGCAGAATAACTACTGGCTGAAAATTAAACACCCAACTACAAAGCAAACCATCTACAACAGTTCAACCGTGGATTTGTTAGCCAGTTTTCTTCACGTGTGTTTTTGTAAATGCTGTATTAAAATATGTTTATGTGGTAAAGCCTGGCTCCGTTCTCCTGGTTTAACTCGGTTGGGCAAAATTCACACCTGTAAAAATTCTGTACAAAGCTGAATCCAAGTTCTCCAACACTGCAAAATGCAAAAAGGCCCAGAACGCCATGTTACAGGAGACTCTCTCTCTCTCTCCTCGCTCATTTAGTCCTTTATCATTACAGAGCACAATTAGAGAAAGATAAACATCGCCCCCTTGTGTATAAAATGCTAATTACACAGAAAGTAAGACTACATATTTTCATTAGGTATTTGCAAATTTGATGAATTAAAATTATTCTATTTTTTTTTGTTTTGCTGAAGAGGTAATTAAGTCAAAAAGAAAACTAATACTGATCATCTTTTCAGATGAGGATATATGATCTCAAATCAGAAAACAAAACAACACATCCAGAGCTACAGGAGTTTCTCTCTTTCCCTTTTCAAAGCTGCCGTGCTTCAGTCAGACGTGGGAGCTCATCACACACACACACACACACACACACACACACAGAAACACACAGAGACACACACACACAGACACGCACACACACTCACTCACACGCACACACACTCACTCACTCACACTTTCCGAATTAGGCTACATTTCATGTTTTTCGTAATTTGACTGACTTAACATTTAGCCTCTGGACCGATAAAGACAAAACTTGCACATATTCAATGTTCATGCATATGAGCCATCTCAATATTTTGTGTGTTACAGGGGGGATTTTTTTTTTCCACAATAAACTGATTGATAGAGAGGCTGAGTGACACTCAACATAAGGGGAAGCAAACATGCAAAAAAAAAAGAATTTCCCCAAAATGAATTTTCTTAAACAAATATTTTGAATTTAGGTCAGGGGAGGGTTTCTTGACAAAGTGGAAAAAAGCTTGTTACATTACAACAGTCCGTCAAAGACGAAATCCACAACAAAACAAATGCATCGGTTTTCAGAAAAGGGGGAACATGTGTATTATAGTATTATTTTCCTATTTAGCCTTTGTCCTGCGTCATGTCTCAGTAAACCATGCATGTCACACCCCCACATCCACTCGACTAAAGTCAAGTTCAGATATCTGCAAAGATCACTTTTTAAAAAAAGAAAGCAAAAACATTTAGGCCATCTGGAGCCTTAGTTCTGGTCCAATTTATATAACCTTTAGAAGATTATTCTTATAAGAACAGTTAATATATTAATGACTACTGTATTTACAAAGTGAATATAAATCTTTAGTTAATACGTTAAATATTTTCTTTCATAATTTCAATAAAGGTTTAAATGGAACAACAGTAGAGTGTACATTTGCGGCATGGGTTCGATTTAACTGGCTTGCACCTGCACCTGCACTTATGACCATCAACAAACCACAACTGTACCCTGCCCAGTCTGTGAGATCTGTTATTGTAAAGGGAAGCTGTGTAAGAAAATCTGCATTGAACAGGATGGAGCACAGTGGAATGTCTATCAATTTGCATTTAGAGCAGATGCATAAAAAAGCTCAGAGTTTAGCCGAGGCCGATCCCCTTCTCTTTTTAAACAATTATTTACACACACGCACACACACACACACACACACACACACACTTGCTTACAGGGATCTCCTCAGTGGCAATAAAAAGCGCTTTTGCCTGGCAACTGACACAATAAAAGTCCTCTCTTCCTCTGGCTGGATGTCTGCTCGCTCCCCTGGGCTTCTACAAAACACTGCACACCCCCAGCTGATCTGGCACTGGAGATGGATGGACGGGTAAGTGAGAGTGAGTGAGTGATGGCGGTTCTGTGAGAGAGGAGGGAGGTCGCATTGAGGGATGGGGGATCCTGTACAGTCTCACCCGAGGGTGGGTAGAGGCCCCCAGACAACAACAGCTGCCCCCATTCTGACGGCACAGAACAAAAAAAAAACGGGCTCCCTCTGTACCCCTGGCGTCCGGGCCACCCAGCCTGCCGAGGGGGAGAGCGCACCAGTCCCCCGAGCGCTCCCCTCAATCCTCCCCTCCCTTCCCGGTGCTGTTTGTTCAGCCAGGCAGATTAACGTGAAGCAGGGCCCAAACCATCCCGGACTAACTGCTTTCACCTGCGACCCACATTCTGACAAACAGGGTGGGGATAAAACCGTCTGCTAACAATGAAGTCAAATGATAGAAAAAGCAAAAGAAGCCCAGAGAACAGGGACACGCTGGAGCTTTGATCATCTGCTGGGAACGCTGGGACCATTGTTCTGCCTGAATGCCTGCACTGCCCGAACACACTTGAGTGTGCACGCATGTGGGGATGTCGTATGTATTATTGTAAGACGGTGCAGCTTCTGCACATGTGAGACTCTGCCTTTCTTCTTCCTTAGAAAAGCTTTGCCGGCTCACCCAGCCCCCGTGTCCAGACGCATTCCTTTCCCAGGAGACTCTGGAGGAGGAGGAGAGCACATTAAGTGCATAACACCGCTCGTGAGCTTGTTCATGCCAAGCCTGAAAAGAGCACAGTGTTTCCTGTCTAGGCCAAAGTGGGTGAAAACCACAGTGTTGAGGAGTTTCTCAGCAGAGGGCAATGGCCCCAGCACACAGCGATGGAAGGTGTGAGGTCTCTAGTGAGTGGGGTGCTGTGGGGGGGAGGGGGCTTAGAGGAGATACTGGGCAGCTGGTGGATCAACCGACAGACTGTTTGGTCTACAACAGGAGAGTCCAGGTGCTGCCAAGCAAAGTGAAGAGGAAGCTAGTCTGTGTGAGGGGCAGCTGGGGCCCAGGCCAGACAGTCTGAGCGCTTTTTACCTCGTGGGCGTCACACTCAAAACACTCATTTCAAGTTCAGTGTCACTACTGGCATATTTTCATTACAACATCTGCTTAATGTCTTTTTGTGTACAGTAAAGGTTTTTCTCCTCCATATAGATTTGATATTTTAACACGTTATATTTTTCTTTCTTTGTATTTTATAAGGACCAAAAAAAAAAAAAACAGTTTTGAAATGTCCATGCAGTTTCCTGCATTCGCTGGTACTTGAGCATCTGGGCTGAAGGTACAGAAACACGGAGAGGAGGCACACATCCAGGCGCCATTTTGTGTCCGTGGGCACCGGCTGCTGTGCCAGGTAGTATCAGTGAATTGACACGTCCGTGGGGAGCCAAGCATCCGTGTCTGAGCTGAAATCTCAAAGTCATTGGCTCTGGAATCCAGAGCAAGCAAGAGGGGATAGGATGAAGAGGGTGACAATGTGAGTATGGAAAAAATATAGTGATGGTTGAGTTGGACCCAACTCCTGTCTGTGAAGCAGCTGTTTGTTCAGTAAAAACTATAAATTAAATCATACATGCCCAAAAATCTTTAAATACTGTTTTAAGAGAGGAGAGGGAGCAAAAGAAAGAATAATAAAAAAAAACACACCATCAAACTTTTCTTTTAAGTGATGTTAAATTAGAAAAACAAAAGTCAGTCCTACACTGAAATTATAAGGGAGGAGAATGAGATGCACAACTTAACAAAAACAGCCTGAGGAGATGTGAAGCTCCGTTCTGCTTCAGGCTGATTTGTTTGTGTCTGTAGAGTTGGTGGGTGATGGCGGAGAGGAATGAGGGAGGGAAAGAGGCGCCTGGAGGGGTGGCAGTTACTTTTGGCCAGACGCTGGGGCCTCCGAGATGGAGGAAGAAGAGGAGGAGGCCGGGGAGTAGGCGTTGGGGGGTCCTGTGGAAGGGGTGAGAGGAGGAGAGGGGCTGCCTCCCACCGTGCCAGACCGGGCCATCTGCTGCTTGAGTTGGGTGATCGTGCGCTCCAGCTTCTCCCGAGCCTCCCGCTCCCGGCGCAGCTCCTCCTGCAGCTCCTGGCGATCAGCCTCCGCCCGCTCCAGCCTCTGACGGAGCTCCGACAACTGAAGACACAGACACGAAGATGAGTTGTGACTATAGATGACACATGGTCTAGTACATCATCACAAATACCAAGTACGTCATGGTGTTTATTCTCAGACATTAATTACACACAATAAGATTGAGAATGTCCCACAGCACAAAACTTATTATAATATAATAAAATATTTTACTATTTATAATATAATTTTATTATGAGTTTGAATTTATTATAATGATTGACAAATTGTTACCGTCTGAAACTACAAACAATCAGTAAAGTGTGTTCACAAAACAGGGCCTAGACAACATCAGGCGTAGAGACAGTAGCTGCAAAAGTAGTTCGCTCGCAAGCGATCACAACAGACTGTGCAAAGTACAGCAGATACGCTATCTACACGTGTTGCACTATATTTTGCGTTTGTTAAAATGCAGGAAGAGCCTGAATGAGAAGACGTTAACCCTCAGTGCCTCCTGCCCTTTAGGTCGTCAGTGGTCACTTTTTGATCGTCTGACACAAACTCTGACTTAACCTTGTTTACAGCAGCTCCAGTTATAGCAAATTATTTTGAAGATTCTTAAATTATGTCACTGATCATTATGAAGACTGGAAAATTAATTTCCCAACCGTGAAGACAAAAGAACGCGCCCAAGGTGCCATGAAACTAGTTACTTTGAAATACAAATTACTTGTTTTAGTTTTTAAATGAAACTGCTCGTATCAGTCTCACGAAAACAAACGCACGCCCCCTCTCCTACTGGCACTCAGCCTGGTTTTGATGCCAAGGGGAGCCGGGCAGGAGGAGCCGGGCAGGAGGAGCCGGTGCTTCAGTAGCAGACAGGAGGGGGTAAGTGCAGCTCTGAGCTCAGGCCAACATAACCTAATCTATCTCCAGATTAGGTCTAGTGGAAACCTAAACAAAGGCCCTGAAGGTTCATGTTTGCGTTGGTGTGTAGTCGCGCTTTTGACTCACACAGAGCATACATGTACACAAAATGATTCAGTCAGGAAACACTCAGTCACAGAAACAGCTTGTCCACACCTTGAGTCAAGAAGTATGGGTAGAAAACATTCTCTGCCGCTCTCAGAGGAAATATGTGGGTGATGACTATATAAGAATTTTTTTTCCACTATCTGGTTGGAATATTTAAAAGAGAGACATCCACTGGTCTGTTAACTGAGTGCTGATCGGCAATTTTGGAAACGATCAAGGATTAAAGGGGAAATTCTTATAAATTCATGGTGAAAATCTGAAGTGCATTAATGTAATTTAAAGGCTTTTTACACAAGTGAATTTGATTACAACTGAAGCATAGCACTGTACCATCTGAGATCAAATGTTAAGTGATGCAAGCTCTTGTGTACTGCATCATTCAGACTGTTTCTGATGCCAGGATTAGTTCTCCTCTCATCCCGTACCTGTGCGGTGTAGTGGGCCTCTTGTTGGCGCTGTACCCCCATTTCGCAGGCGCAGGCCTGCTGTCTGAGCTGCTCCAGACGGGTCTCCAGCTCCAGCTGTTCCTGGCGGGCCTGGTTGAGCTGCCGCGCCTGCTCGCTGTGCACCGCCTCCAGCTCGCTGCGAAGCTCCCGCTGCTCGGCGCTCAGCTCCCGTAACCTCGCTGCCTCGCCCCCGCGCACCGCCTCCAGCTCCTGAAGGCACAAAGACTAAGTCAAGGGAAATAATAACAATCATGTGATACTTCACTGACCTCTGTAGGGAAAATTGCTTTACAATTCTGCCCCTCCACAGGGACACATGTCATTATATCCCAAGGGGGCTTGAATACAGGGGGTTCAAATTCCATATGTCCAAACTGAAATTAAATTAGAGTCTTTTAATAACAAAACAATATGTTATAAATGAGTGAAACTGAGTAACTGTGACTTCTGACTTGTTTTAAAAATGGCTGAACCATCTGGTACCTTCATGTTTCATGTGGTGGGAAGGAAACATGAAGGGGTCGGTGTGAGGTGAACATCACCTCCACATCCACGTCAAGGACACTTTTAATAGGCAAGGACAATTAGGTTCTAGTTTATCTTGGGCTCATTTATCTTGGTCTTTGTTCTTTCCAACCACCAACTCACCAATTCCAGCTGCAGCTGCTTGTGCAGGGTGGAGTTCAGCTTCTCCTGCTGCCTGCTGTACATCTGCATGATCTCCACAACAATCCTGTCCTTGTCGTCCTCCAGCCCCCCCACCACCACAGCAGCGCCGCTTGTGGCAGAGCCTGTGTCCTTAGCCACTACTTCCGTTACCGGCGTCAACAACGACGCAGGAGGTGGAGGGGTGTGGGCGGGGGTGTGGGAGGCTTTCTTGCAGCTCGGGCTGCTTGTCTCCATGGAAACTGCCTGGGCTTGGCATTCCCGCTCGGTGGCCGAGGCAGCAGCGGCATGTTGGGATTTGGCCTCCTCGGCGCCAGCAGCGACAGGGGGCGACGCGTGAAGATCTGAGAAGGGAGGAAGAAGAGGATGAAGAAGAGGTTTAAATATATATATATATATATATATATATATATATAAAAAATACAAAAAGAATAGGAGGTGGTTGAAAGACAGGAAGTGCGAGCCTAGCTGGCGCACACTCCCGCCTACGTTTAGTAACACCCTCGCATAACCTCATATAAGCTCACACCTCTTTTTCAGCGTGAACACACACATAAGCACAAGCATGGCAACAGCCGAAGAACCAAACACTCAGCCACAAATTCTGTGTGCGCGAATAATGGGTCTTGTGTGGGAGATGTGCTGTTCTGTATGGGCCCCTTCAAACTCTGACTTGTTTCCTCACGGTGGCCTTTAAGGGGCACATCACAAGAAACGGATCAAACGGGCCGTGTGACACTTCTAACACAAAGACGCGTGCACAGATGCTGCAGCAAGGCATGTGTCGGCCAGTAATGACAGCGTGTATAAGCTCACAGACAGAAAGAGAAGCAGAAATAGTGTCAGAGAGAGAGAGAGAGCACGAGAACAGTGGGTTGTTTACCAGAATAATGTATTCATGTGTGTGTGTGACAGGAAACAGCATGCTCTGTACACAGCCTGTCTGGCACTGACACTGCGAAGATTGCTTGTGCATGTGCATACACACACGTACAGACTTGCATACATGATCTGCACAGCACACACGTGTATGATAGTAGAAGCAAACAAATAGCAGGAGTGAGTCATTTGGTTGTGGTTCAAACGGAAATAAGCACGGGGAGGGAGGCACAACAGAAAAAGTGAAAGGCGCATAGATAGACTGGGAAAGAAAAAAAAAACGAAAGAAGAGGAGGATGATGATGATGATGGGGTGAGAAGAAGGAGTATGAGGAGGAATAGTGGGGGAAAGTGACAGCAGATTGAGAGGGAGGTGGTGATCAAGGCACCCAGAGAAGAAAGAGGCATGGATGGATGGATGGATGAATGAATGGATGAGGATATGGAGACAGCAGCTAGGAAAAGAGAAAGAGAGAGAGAGAGAGAGAGAGAGAGAGAGGGGGGGGGGGAATAATGGCAGAAGAACACTACTGCTGTTACTCACTTTCACTCTCTCTCTCTCTACACACACACACACAACTCTTATTGATGCAGCTTTAATATACACACTTTAATGTGCTCATAAAAACACACACACACAAACAGTACAGAGAGGAGGTCGCTGCCTTTTCACCCCTCTTGCTCAATCGTGAGGTTCCCCTAGAGTCTTTATGTGAAGGTCAATGCATGATTATGTGTGTCGCTGCGGGCTGCAATGTTACGCATGTGTGTGTGTTGGATGGTGGTTGTATGTTTACAGTAAGCACGTGTCAGCTCTTCCACTGTGCTACATGTACACGATCTACATGTCTCTTCTGCTTATGTTATGTGTATGTTAATTGCCGGCACTTGCTGCATGTGCATGCATGATGTATTTATAGTTGACATGTGTCCGCCATGTTTGTGTGTATGTACGTTCAGTGTGTGCATTACAATACAAGGGTCAACATCTTCTGTCAGGCTGTTGTCTCCAAAGTGAAGAATTAACTTCCACACCCTGAATAGATATGTTTTAGTATTGTTACTATTCAAAGTCATTCTTTTATGGTCATTCACATCGTTATCATTTATCATTGGATTAATTTGTATTTTATTTCTGGTTTTAAAAGAAACAACCCAAACTTTGTGAAGACTCAACTCGACTACCATTTGTCAATTATAACGCCTCCAGTAAAGACATATTTTATATTTCTATATCTGGCTTTCACTTTATTTTCAACAATAATCTTCAATAATAATGAGGAGAGAGTCCTTTAAAAATACATAAAACCATTTAATAATGTTTGTATACGATTTACAAATGCTAACTATGGAAGGTGAATATTCTTTTTTCAGGACCATCATGTAAAACTAGATTTGCCCATGTTAGCTTTTTTTCCCCCAATATCCTCAATCACAGTCATTGTGGTGTTTTCACATTACAAATAACACAAAGATGATTTTACCTGCCACCTCACACCAGGAAATGCAGCTACATAAACACTGTAGTTCAAAAGCCAATGATTTAATGGATAAATTGGATGTAATTTTCTCACCCTTTAACCTATTTTCTGCTCTGATGTTTTGAGTTTCTTACATGAATGGACATAATTGCACCGTGTGGGTTTTTTGCTTTTACTTTCACCAGAACGTCAAGCAAGAAAGGGTTTGATAATATGTGTTATTCTATTTGCCGGTTGATTATAACATGCAAATTGAAAGGTTTGGAAAGGGGTCAGACGCCATCTCTCAGTGCTTTTGTCAACAACTGTGTGTCAAGGAAGACTGAAAAAAAAAAAATTATTCTTGTATTAAAAGGCCACACCACCTTGTGCCCTTCTAACCTGATTTATACCTGTTTGTTCCAAGGATTTGGTCTAAACTTTGAGATATAGCTTTTGGTTTGTAATATTTCATATCCCTTTAATCATGATCAAAAATTATGAGCAACATTAACTCGAAACAAAAACAAAACCTCTGCCCTCAGATTACAAAAAAACATTTTTGCCATTTTAATTTAGAGTCTGGATTTGTGTGGTTTGTCGTATATGTTTGGAATTTTGGATGGAAGGGCATAAGTGCCTTTCTGTGTGTGTCTCTGTGAATAAGCGTGTGTATCATTACTGACCCATGGGTGGCTCGTCATGGCCCAGCACTCTGCGGCTGTAGTGGTGTTTGAGCAGCGCTCCAAGCATCTCCTGGCTCATCTCCGCCTCCTGCTGCAGAGACACGTTGGGAGCCACCATCTTATCGTATGTGTACAGGTAGTAACTGGGAGAGAGAAGCAGATAAAGAAACGGTGTTTAAACACTGAACTGGTTTAACATGTAGATAAATCTTTACACTTTTTGCGCAACATACTTAACATGCACTACCACTGAAACATATAAACACACAACAGTCCTGGCTTCCCTTCATCACACAAAGGTTGAGTATCCTGCTGATAACGTACAAACTGAAACAAGTATCTGTTTTGAATTGATTTTCTAGTCATGATGGCAGCAGGGTCACCTTTCACATACTTCTGTGAGTTTGCAGTAAAGACCATAAAATGTTACGAGTTGTGGACTTTACAATGCTGAAGTACATTAAGCAACAAATATGACTGCAGTAACTCATCAGTGAAACACTGAATCTGAGCAATAAAAGAGAGGTATTTCTGTGAAGGTTAGCCTAAAGTAAGTGCAGCATCTGAAGACAAGAGATGAAAACACAGTGCGGAATATGGATATTTCTTATCATGTGTTTACAGGATATCAGCCTAAACACACCTTCATCTTATCACACATGTCCAGGTAGTGGGTACAACTGAGAGAGAGAGAGATAGTGCCTGGAGATGCACTGAAGCCACTGAGCAAACACTATCTGTCCATTCCTAACTGCATGATGGGAAGACAGGATGAGAAGAGGAGAAGAAGAGAAGAAGGGAAGAAGAGAAGAGAAGGAGAAGAGAAGAGAAGAAGCTTTGAACCCCTCCCCCACAGCAGTCCCCTCCAGACAGAGCTGAGGCTGGAACTGTGAACTAGGTTAAGCATGACAGCTCAGTGGGGCTCTGCCTGAAAAACTACAGCACTACCAACCAACCAAGCCAGCCTTGCTCCCTCTGCTCTGGATGGAAATAAGCGCTGCCTGCTCGCCTGAATGACGATCTGAAACTCATTCACATGAAATGCCCAAGATGTGATTGAATAATGTAAACATGGCTTGTATTTGTCATGTGTGGTGCTAATGGATGTTGGTACAAAAAGGACGTTAAGTGCTGTGGATGCAAGACGTTTTATTATTGCTAAAGCTGCAATGCAGAAACGCATGCTCCAAACTGCTCTGTGCAAGCCATGACTGGTTTGAGACGCGTAGCAGTCCGGTAATGCCGGAGGAGACCAGAAATCTAAATCCTGCCATTTAGTCTGACCTATGGTCAGTATGTCAAGCGGTCACGTGTAGCTATGGCGCCATAAATCATCTAATTCCATCTTTTAATCTGGGTCAGATTACTGTGTGAGCTATCAGAGCACCATGTCCAAACACAGACCGGTGTGGTTTGGGGAGGGAAGGAGGGAAGAAAAGAGGACCCGAGGAGGAGGAAGGGAGGGAGATGAGACGCTCATGCGATGAAGGACAGAGGACAAAGAGGGAACTGAGCAGAGTACAGCAAGAAATTAAGGATGGGAATTTAATTTACTAAAAAAGAAACTGATAGAAAGTCAAACCTAATGCAACTTGGCAAATAGCCCAACCACACAATTTGGCACAGTTTACCTCCTCGTAATGCACAGTTTAAAAAAATAAAAAAATGTTAATGTTCTCCAGTAAAACACACATTTTAATCCAGACTGACTTTAAACAACAATCTCATTATACCACTTAAAAGCCAACAGTCTGTTGAAAAAAATTATTCTGACCACAAATTGAACAAAGTCCAGAAATAAACAGAACTTGAGCCTCAACAAATAGTAAATCAACCATATGATAATGTTAGGTTATGAGCAGTTGTTCAGACAAAATAAACAAACTAATTATTTAGTCACTATTTCTAACAATCCATAAACTAAAAGTTTAATCAGTGTCAAGGTCAAACCATTAGTTATTTAACCAATAAGTCGATCAACAGAAAATTAATTTGAATGTCAGACAAAACATTATGTCAGACATTTGAGGATTTCAGTTTAGATCAACATGTGCTGGTCATTTTCCTTTTAATAACCTGCACATCAATCCTTTAAAAAAACAAATGTCAACCCTAAGATGGTGTATTGGTGCTGTTTAATCAAGGTTTATATGATGTAGTACCTGGGATGGACCAGGGTGGGGTGTCCTGGCTCCTCCTTAATGTCCGAGAAAAGACGGTTGAAGACCAAAGCAGGTGGAGATGTTTTTCCCTGTGGAAAACAAAAACACACGCATATAAATATGACAACAAAACAACATATTGTCTTTTTCAGCTTTTGTGTTGCAGCCATAACATCACACGATGGCAGCTCATCCATCTACATTTATTGATCTTTGCATACAATTTTTCAGTTGAATGGGTGAATTATCACAATGGCAATCAGATGCATGGCCACGCTCACACACACATGCATACTCATGACTACATGGAGAGAGAAACAGCAGGAGGAGATGGGAATGTGCTGTACTGCACATGGCACTCTCAGTGCTATAATCTAATAAAGCTAATATATGCATGCATACATGTGGATAAGGGATCATCCATCAGGCATCAGATGAGAGAGTGTGTGTGTTGGAGAAAAAAGACAATCATGATGAAGAGCGTCTTTCCTCTTGTGTGAATGTAAAGTCAGAGTGTGTATGCAGTGAAAGGGGGGAGATGGAGAGCAGTGTGTGTGTGTGTGTGTGTGTGTGTGTGTGTGTGTGTGTGTGTGTGTGTGTGTGTGTATTCCTGGCCGGTCAGAGAGCAGAAGTGTGCCGTTATGAATGGGTGAACAGGGGGTGTGTCATTCAGTGGGGGCAGGGGTGGTGACCCTGAGAGCTGACCTGTGTGTAGAGGAGGGGGAGGGGGGAGGGGAGGGGATGCTGGAGCAGTAGGAGGTGATGGAGAGACGGATGGATGGATGCGGGGTGGTGGGGGGGGTTGACGACTGACCTTTCTCGCAGGGTAGGCATTGGCCAACTTGCCACTAGGTGAGCAAAGGTCTGCTGAGGATTTCCTCACCTGGCTCTCCTCCTCCTCCACCTCCTTCTGAAACACACAGAGAAAGGGGTGGCGGGTTAAACAGACAGACAAAAACAACACACACTCCAAAACTGACGGTGTAGAGGTAGCACAGGAGACATTTGTAAGAATACGTTGAACAATTAAAATGATGCACACTCTTGTCAGGCAACAAATTACGACAGGCACCGTGGTCACAGAGGGGAAAGATGGAGACAAATGGCATTAAAACAATAGGAAATAGAGATAAATGACATCCAAGAGGTAGAAAATGGAGACAAATGGCATTAAAAGTGAACATCAGGAGTGAGCTACGGCGTAAACCGGCAGTGATACAGTATCGGAGAGAACGAAGGTGGCAGGGAAATGGATTAAGTAAAGAGTAGTGACTGAATGAGACTGCTCAGGAAGGTCTATGAATAAAACACAAGAGACGCTATGCTGATAAGTCAACATGGATACTACACGGCCTGTCATTCAGTGCTTGTGTGCATGTGATTCATTGTTGCATATACAATACAGCGTATGTCCTGTTCTTGTGAAGATGCATCTATGTGTGAGTGTTGACTGTTTTTATAATTAATTGTGTCAGCTTCGTAACCCATGAGCCATGTGTGTTCGAATAAATACTGTTGGTGTTGGCGTGTAGTTGTGCGACTATGTGTGGCTGAATGTGTGTTTTCTGAGCAAATCCAGGACACACGCTCAGTGAGAGGCCACAAGCTGATGGAGTTGATGCTTATCTGTGGCAGACAGGTCTGATACTACACACAGGTTGCCTGCAGTTACAGAAAACACACACACGCACGACCAAACTGACGTGTAGCACCAGAGGAACCAGAGGAACCAAATCGCGACCAAAACGGCTAGACCACAGCAACAGAAAGAGAAGTGATGGAGAAGGGGGGAGTAGAGAGGAGAGAGAACGTGGGAGGAAAAGCAGATGCAGGAGAAAAAGAGGGTGGAGGAAGAGAGGGATTCCAATAAGGAGAAAAGTGCAAGGGCAGAGAGCAGAACAGAGGGAGAAAGAGAGATAGAGGTTGTAGAAAGCATCAATAATTGACTTACTAGCCTTTTAAAGCTAGTAAGATGACTGCACACACGCGCATGCACCCACACAGTCGGACAGTGAATAACAGACACAGCATTTCATCAGCTGGACTAAAGGATTTTCATCTGAGCTGTATTTTCATAGAGACACCTTCTTTAGAAGAGATAAACAGCTACAGAACAAATTATTGTGGCAGCCTGGTATCGCGCACCTAATGTTCATGTTACAAACAAAACATCCACATTACACACACACACAAAATTTCTATATCTTTAATGAAAACAAAAGGAATTTATTAAGAATAAAACCAAATGCTCACTGGTAGTTCCCAACATTTAAGAATTGGTTGCATTCCACTGTTTTCTATCATTATCTTGGGCATATTTCACTGACTGAAAGATTCACTGCACCAGTCGGTTCTGTTTTGTCACAACCATGAAGAAGAAAACAACTATTACTGCTACTACTGATTTGTGAGCATGTGAATTCATGTGTACTGTATATAGGGGATTGTCCCACATCTACAAGGGCATAGAAGAATGAGCATGTGCATGCAAATGTAAAAGGCTCCAGCCATATGCGTAGCCAGGTGTGTCTCTGCGAGTGTGTGTACAGAAGGGGGCTTGTTCGCTTATGAGCGCTTGTGGTTGGTGTTTTTTCCTTTTTTTTTCTCCAGAAGGCAGCACTGCAGCACAGAGGGAGGGAGGGAGGAAGAGGGGAGACAGTGATGGGACGGGGCAGATACAGGAAAGGAGGGGACAGAGAGAGGAGAATTGACAGATACAACAATAAACCCACTGCAGTGGTGTGGTGGAGGTGAGCTGGACCCTCGTCAGCTGGATTTCCTCCAATATCAAGGTTGTCTGAATGTGTGTGTGTGCCAGTGTGTATTGCTACTACGCACACCAAATCTCCAATGTGTCACTCTCCCCTGCACAAGTGTGTGTCAGACAAACACAGACAGAGGCCGAGCACGGGGCCAAACTGACATTACCACCAGGTCGTCCAGGGGTCTTTTCATGTGCTTGACCCCACAACAGCAGATGTTGTGTTGATGAGAGGACTGACAGCTCATTAAAAGGTTGGACTGTGTGTATGTGTCTGTGTGTTTACTGTTTAAGTGCACAAAATGTGTGTGTGTGTGTGTGTGTGTGTGTGTCTACATATAGACCATACATGTATCTGTGTTCCACTAATGGCCGCCTATGTCTCTGCCTGTAATTCCTGCTTACCTGACAGTTGACAGCTTAACGCCCACCACCCACACACCCCCGTTCGTTATTCCTGCTGCTCTAACGCTTGCACATTTTCACACAACTGTTTTCCTATCCCCTCTTGCCCATCTCTCTCTCTCTCTCTTGTCCATTCCACCTCCCAACCCCCCAATGTGCTTTATTAACGCACACCATGCTGCGACTGAGGCCTAATCTGCAGTAATGAAGCACCTCTCTTATGTGGGTTGCCTCTGCAACACACAAACACACACACACAGCCCCCTAACCCCACAATGTCTCCAGTCCTTTGTCAGGCTGAAGCTCGCCTTATGACAATGTGGATTAGCATTCCACACACTCGCTCAGCTGAACTCTGCCCTGTTGTTCCTAATCACCAGCAGTCTGCCTGCCGCTGCAGATACATACACACAGACCACTATACACAGCTACATGACACACACGGCCATGTGAACTTTGTGACCCATTTCTGGAGCCTCAGTTTGGTCCCCTGACCATTAGCACACATGACATTTCTCCAGCCGATGCATTAATGGAGCAGAAAGTGTTTTTTTCCTAGTGTCTGTGTTGCCTGAGTGCCATTAAATCTAACAATAATAAGCAAGCACTCATACTCATGCAGACATGCATGACCATACATTACCATACATACTGGACAAAGGTGGAAAGTAAAGGCAATTCAGCAGCAGCCTTGTATTAATACAAAGAGCTCCATCTTTGTTTTCCTCTGCAAAGCAATAACATCTAATTTACAACACAAATACTTGTTGCCTCTCTTCACAGCTGGATGTTTACATCAATGGGTCAATCGAAATGGAGGCATTCACACGTGAACTTCTCTTAACCGTAAACTAAAAAAACGTGTTGCTCAAAGCTTTTAGAAATAGTTCATTTTGTTACTGCTCTGAGCATTTAATTTCGTAATATTCCTAATCACTGAAAGCGTCGTCATATGATCAACGACGAGCTGATTTCAAACTAAGGTGACAGCTTTTTAACTTCACAAGTTGACAGATGTCCAATTTCTTTTTCAGCAGCAAACTTCAGAAGATTTAAGTACTTCCCTTTCAGCGCTTGCCAGTCTCTCATCATCCTGGCCAACAAGAAATGTCTATCTTTTAGTCTACTTTTGGTGTAATTTATATATATTGAAGCTTAAGGTAGATGCACACA